GCCGCGCCTCGCCCTTCGTCGGCGGCAGGAGGTACTACCCCTCGCCCTCGCCCCCCCTGTTCCCGTAGCATTTTTTGTTTTTAATTAATTACTGCTGCTGCCTGTTTATTTAATTAATTATTCCTGTAAAGCCCGCGCTTATTGGCCGCATATGCTTGCGCGATGGCGCGATATGGTGCGATGGTGGTGGGTGTCAATCATACATTTATTGTTGGCTCGTACGCGATGCTTAGGGCGATTGGATTGGGTGTTGCTTTAGGTTAGGCCGATGCTGGCGCTGACGGCGATGCATTGCTCTGATTGATTGTATGGTGTTTTTGCTGGAAGGGTAGCGTGTCATCTTCTGAGTTAACGCTAATTATTTTTTACGAACAAATGCGGAGATGACCGAGACAGCGAGCTACCATTTGGTGCTCATTGCTGTACATATTTTTTTGTAGCCTTTATTATCGCTTCGAATTGAACCATTGCATTGCTGGAAGGGGGTGACGTTTGAGCTATTTGAGCTGTTCCATCTTCCCCTCTGGGCTGACATTCGACCCAGAGGAGAACAGTGAGCTAGCATTTGGTACTCCTTGCTGTACATAGTTTTTGTACTCTGTATGGGTTTTAACTGAACTGTTACATTGCATCTGTCGCCCCCCTGGGGCGACGTTTGAGCTATTTGAACTGTTGGATCTTCTCCTTTGGGACTGACATTTGAACTATATTAAGTTTGATGCATTGCTCTGGTGTTCTGTCCCTAACTTCAGAAATGATTATGACTGGCAGGCAGGGATACTCTCACAGTTCTGGCCTTGGAATCAAAGACAATAGCGCCTTCAGGCCCGGAGTATATCTCAACTTCAACGTGCAAAGCAGTGCGCAAGAATGGAAAGAGGAGAGCAAGAGGATATGTTCTATCAAAACCACCAATGCTGTCATGAACAATGTTTATAATGGTTACGCTCTGCGCTCAGGAAATCTTCATCATGATCCCTTGGAAGATTGCAAGACCTCCAACCAGTCTCCATTGTACAGTGTAAGAGAAAGAATGGCTCCTAACTCTCTTGCAAATAGACACGCCAATATGGAATTGGCAAAGCAACATGTGATGAGTCCCACTGCAGGTGCTGTGTCAGCACTGACCAGTGCTGTGGATTATGACATCAAATCGCTAAACAGGTCTAGTGACTCCGAAGTGGAA